TTGCCCGTCTCTAGGGCATTGACGAAAAGCGCGAAATCCATACTATATCGGATTGCAAGAGAACCCTGGCTAAACGTCCTGCAAAAATGTAATCCTCGGACAGTTATCGACCTAATCTGATCCAGTATTCGCTTAACCGGAGAAATCCTGAAGTACTACACGCGCACGTTTTCTTGATACCTAGGCCGCGTAAAAAAATACTTAAGAACAACTCCATACAATTAAAATATGCTTAAATAATGTAATTTAACCCGCAATCGACCGATTGCGTGGGTTATCCAAGACTTCTTAACTTACCTCCTCATTCCTGCAGTTGTCTGACTGCTCTGAATTACGGAAGGTGTTTGTGGCGAAAAAGCCATACCACGCATGATACAAAGAAAGGCTTAGATTTAATTACACATGAATTTAATTAGTCTAATTATGGGAGATGGTAATTAAATGATGCCTTAATGGCTGCATCATTTAATCACATTACATCAAATGACCCACAATCGCGAGCGCCACTTAAAAGTAACTTTCGTCTAATTTGTGCTTACTTCGTTAAACATCGCCCCGCCATCGTCCATCGTCCTGGGTTGCGAGGTCTATGGCTCCCGGCACTCGAGAGAATAGGCGGCCTTACACCATTGTTCTTGAATGCGCGCCGGGCAGCGAGCCACTCTGGACCTCTGGACGTTTCAGAACGCACGTCTAAAGGGGAGTTGCGGTTTGCGCGCAAGAGCGCGGTTCGGAACGCTGCGAGAAAAAGCATGGGTCGCACTTACACGTGGAGTTTTGTAGAGAGTGGACATAGTGACCGACCGGGCGGTATTTTGAAATGGCGGATACTCGATGCTGGAACGGGGATATGGTGAGGGAGTTTCTTTCCATATATAGAGAGTGCCTTAGTCTATGGACGCTTTAATGTTATGTGTATACTAAGAAAAATGTCTTTGGTCCCGGACCGCCCCTGCCTGGTTCGCAATTCGCGCCCTTGAGCCGCGTCGTTGGCCGCGGCCCGGGTGGACAGTCAGCGGCGCGCCCCCGTCAGCGGTGGCCCCCGGGCGACCTCATGGTTCCTCATCAGTGACCGCAAGCAGGGTAGTTCAGGCGGAGATCGCAGTGATGATACGAGAGCGTTACGCCAACTTCGCACGCGAATATATTTTATCACATTATATCTCCAGTCCGGTGCGTACTCCTAGTTGCACGTACTGGCAGTGACCTGAGCTAATTTCGTCGAATTGACTGCGCCGGCATTGTACGATTCGAGCAGTGCTGGCTTCAGCGCTCGACCGTCTATGGTCCAAGTCCGAAGACTAGGCGACGGAGCCAGGTCGCGGTGGAGCGGGCACTGTATGCAACCGTCCGCTTTTGTGGTCAATTTTAGAGAAAGCTTGGGATGGCGATCCGAGACGCTGGCAGAACCCCGAGGTTACGTGTGACATGAACCTCGTACCCCCTGATACGTCACGGTTGTTGAGTGGTTGTCTGGCTAATCTGAAACCATCCAAACATTTTCGGCCGTTTGCGGACAGTCGACGTTGGTGAAGGTTGTTTCCCTGTGACCGCACGTGACCTCTTGGTCTTTGTCCAGTGCTGCGGGACGCCTTGTGTATTTTGCAGTTATAATGAGTCTTACTGCTCCCTAAAGTGCACGATTGCGGTTCCTGATGTTGAAATAAAAAATATTCTTCGCACACGGCGAAAACCATCTCCCGTGGGCGATTACATTACAATATGTAAAATAAGACAAAATTCTGTTATACCATCTTTGCCTGAAAGTTTATAAAATGGCGTGGCATCAAGTAGATCACGATTGTTTGAGTTACACAGTCGCAATTCAATTGTTATAATTCGAATTATATTTTAAAGATTATATTACTATAATCATTATAATATTATAAACTATTATATTAATAACCAATGTGAGTTGTATGTGAAACCGGGAATTTACAATGGAAGGTTTACTCATACGAAGAAAAACGTGGCGGAATAATTATTACTATGGCTAAGAACATACAAATATTCATTAATAGAATGTTTTTGTATTCATTTCCCTCGTCAGATAATGCGTCGGATAATTCTTGAAACGAAATGGTATTTTGAGTGATTGAAAATAATATTTACGCCGACAGACTTAAGGTACTATCATCTAAAATGAGCCGTAGGACCAATGAACATGGCCGAATAGCCCTCTCCTGAGGATCTAAGTTAGGGATGAGGGAAGAAAGCGGGAGCTGTGACTCCTGAAACTTCTTATTCGGTATACGCCGTAATTGCTCTGCCTAAATTCGGCATCTGACTGGAAGAAACTATTAAATCGACAGATCAGACCAGCTGGTCTGTAGAATCGTCGAGTGACTTTCTTTCACTCTTTTACTTAGTCGTAGAAAATTTGTCGGTATCGGGATTCAAACCTAAAATCAAAACTTCTGAAGAACTTCAACTTTTGATGTTGCATTCAAATGCAGCCGTTAATATTATCTTCCATTTATAATTGTTCCTATAAATATGCCGCAATACATTTTAAGTTCACTATGTTTTTGCGACGTTCATATCTTTAAGACCAATGCGCGAACTCCTCATGCCTTGCAGACGTGGAGCTTATCAACTCCTAGAACTCCTTGTGCAGTTTTGTGAACGCACGGAGAGTGTAATGCGCGTTCACGCCACCGCGTTGAGACCATTCCTACCCTTGCGGGCATCTGTGGCCAATCCTGCAACATGAAGAAAAACAGAAGGTAAAAAAATGACTTTAGCCTACCGGCGCGCGCATTGCGTGTTTGGAAATACTAAGTTTATTTTTCAAGGATCATTTCTCTGTTTCAGATTACTCTTACTCCAGGAAGTACTTCGAACGCCTATATGTGGCCCTTTGATCGGGTTGGTATGAGGCGATCTCGGAAATGAGAGTATTTTCTGAGTCAGCTGCTTTTTTTTTTAAGAAAAAAAACACGATATTTTTGATACGACCTATCAGTAGTGGCATTGATAATTCGCGATGTATATTTTCGATACGAGTGTTTCTAGGGGGGGGGCAGAGGGCAGCCCTGAGACATTCGTTTTGAACTACTTGCAGTTCATTCAGATGCGCAGTTGCTGCAAAGGCCCAACTTTAGCATGCAAAGTCCAGTTGCAGCCTAATTATTGCTATATAGAGCGTGAGGCAGTTTGCCGTTGACAGTTTGCTCTGCTTGTGAAACAAGCTTCGCAATCTGCCTCGGGTCTGCCGCGCTTTCTTTCGCATATTTTCGATGTGCTTATCATCTGCTCGTGCTCAACTGCTTATCAACTGTTCGTGCGCTTCCTGAATATTTGCTTTCGTACGGGAGCAGCCGAGAGGCGCAGTGACGAACACCGCATGAGAGCATGCAATGCGTCACTTCCTGTCAACCTTTCCTTCCTACTGTCGCAATTCTGACAGTAGTGAATACTAATCGAACACCTCGGACCTGCGTAAGTTGTCCGTTTTCTATTGCTAGTTGTGCAAGCTAAATATCCCACTCGCAGTAATTATGTCAGTTAAGGAATGTCTTAGGCGAAAAAAAACATACAGAATGTATCAAAATCCAACGACAAAATTTCCGAAATGCACACCCCAAGTAGAGGACAAAATATCATTTCAGTAAGAGTGTTTATGTACGAAGGTAATGGAACATCTAAATTTGTCACAGCAAATATCTTCAAAAGGTTTAAGGTATCGGGGTGAGGTTTGTGCTCAGTTGACATCTTCGTGTTTTGGATACAAGTATACTTCTTTGTTATATAATTGGTTTCCTCTTTGACTTCCTTATTTACATATGTTCATCGTTTTCTGTATTAGCCTGAAACATGAATTAATTCTTTACTTGTAGCTCAGTTAGCAAAATAATATTTTTTTTTCATTTACCACAAAGGAATGCATTTATTGTTCAATAAATTATCGCGTAATCAGAAAACGATCCAATTTTGAATGCAGTTTGCGCGAAGTTGTAGATGACTATAGGGGAATAACATATTCCATGCACAGTGAAACCGGTTTAAACGACCACCTCGATTGCCACCGCCTCTATTAACGGCTACTTTCCATGGAACTGATTGATTTTCCTTTAGGTCGCAGTCACTCTTTTAAGCCCTCACTTGTCTACGCGGTCAGCTGCTCGGGCCGTTTCCTAGTTTAACTTATATTGTAAGTTGTAGCCACAACTTTGTTTATTTATTTACTTATTTATTTACCGTCAAAAACCAGTAAAAACTTTATGTGACGCATGGAAGAAAGTATTATACGCGGACGTGTTCTTATCTCTACCCCATGTTTTACGATACACAATTAAATGATGATTAAAGGTACCGCCCAAGGGTGATAAGCAACATTTGAAAACTAGAAATTTTCGCTCTGAAGTTATAGAAAATTTATTTGCACATACAAACTAATTGCAGATTTGATTTTACAATATCACTAACAGCTCATATCCCGAGGTCCACTCCTACTTTAACTAGCAAAAGAACAGCATAACAAAACGTGCACATAGTGAACCTTCATGTATAAGAAGATAAGATTGAGAATTGGATGGAGGGGTTGAAGGTTGTCCGTTTTCTGGAGAAAATTTTGCAATAGGGAATATGATGGTGTTGGAGGGTGATTTTATATAAAAGATAAATAGATGCAACTAGTAAAGCAGTGACGATTAGGTGAAGATACTGGTGACTATCAGGGGCAAGGAAGAAGTTGGGTTGTTATAATGGTTTTGCCTTTTCATCAATAGCATTTAATTTGTTTTTGAGATTGTTGAGGGCAATTTGGGGTTTGTAATCTTGAATGTCTAGAAAGTTTGCAATGCGGGTGAAATTAATATCGGGTAGGGAAGAGTAGTTTAATAAGTTGGTAATTGGAGGTATATGGAAGCGTGATGGGGCGTCGTGGATATTTAGTAGTTTGTTAGTGAGGATTCAAAGTGATGGAACGGCGGGAAGCCCAGCATGTCATAGGGATTTGTATTTGGCCTGTGCCATCCAATAAGAAGGGGGAAATGAAGATGGAGTTAATAGAGAAACGTGAGTTTGGGCAGTGTAATGTAAATGCTAGAGGGGAGGGTCACTGAATAACCAGAGATTGGAGTTTCTGGCGCAAAAGAATGTGAGTGGGGGTTATTTATAACTTTGGTTCGACAGAGCCGTTTAGCGTCGTCAGTATGACCAGTAAAAAGAGCATATAAACATGATGAGGAAGAGGGATTGGAGGTATGTTTGCGGGGAGGACATGCTTTGAAGTAGTCATTAGAGCAATCGATTATCTTCTAATTGTAATTCCTTAAATGCTTATTTGTCTTCCGTTACAGCAAGATATGGATGAGAGGGGATAATGATAGGGAGGAGGATTGTTGGGTAAGAGTACAGGGAGTGGAACAGCTCTATAAGTGGAAGAATCTATTAGGTGCACGAATTGGGATTTCAATGTAAAGGTGTAGGAAATCAATTGCAACGGTAACTTTGCAGATGTCATAATAGATGAAGAGGAATTATTTTTCAAGTGCATTGGGTAAATGATCACCTGGAAGGTTGTTTTCAATTTGGAGTAGGGAAGTAAAAAGTTGTTGTGGGGAAATGAAGTAGGGAGAAAGGCGGTGTGGTTGCAATAGAAACCAGGCTGTTTGGAATTGGTTTCAGTTGTTGCTAATTCCTTTTGTGTCAGCGTTTGTTTAAGATTCTAATGTTGGAATTGATAGTATTGATTGTCCCAAGTTCTCTGATGGTATAGTCGGATAAATTTTGATAGCTTTGAATTTTGTTAAAGGAAGTAACTAGATTGTCATGGGCTAAAGCTAGCTTGCGTATTAAATTGCCGTTTGCTTCGGAGTTGTATAGTCTAATTTATTATTGTGGCTTGTTCGCAAATTAAGTGGATGGACTTATTAGTATTTTGTTGGAGGGATGGAAAGATATTGTTTAGTCTGGATAAGTCAGATTCAGAAGTAAAGAGGTCTCGGAGAGCGTTTTGAAAATCGGACCAAGTAGTTATTTTTTCGAGATTTGGAGCGAGAGTAACCAGGTGTTCGCCCATGCCTTCTAAATGAGCACGGGCGAAAACCAGACGTTCTGCGTCTTCTCATCCGGCAATGTCGGACATTTCATTAACAGTATTGATAAATGCGTTAATGTCTTGGTTGGGGTTTCCAGAAAACTTTCTAATGTAATTGTGATACGCAATACGTTTGTCGTCAAGGATAATAGCGGTGCCGGGGTGGTCAGTGGGGGGAGGAGAAGAAGAGAAAGGGAACCTGGTGAAGGGAACAGTAGTATTCTGGCTCGGAATAGAAAGAAAATAAGACATATATTTTGCTCACTTGGTTATAATTGAATGAATCTGATCTTATAGTTAATTAAAACTGAAAGACAAAGAGTGGGTGAAATGAAAATTTTAAGAGCTACTAGCAGAGTGGAAATTTACGAATATGTAATGTAATTTTGAAAAAGTACTGAAATCCTACGAGAGCTACTAGAAGTTTAGAAATAAACGGAAGGATTTTTATGAGAGAGAAAATAAAGTGCGGAGGGTGTACAAACTACCTGAGGGAGAGGGGGTGGAAAAAGGTGGGAATCTAAAAGAATCCTACTACAAGTTTGAAAAGACCTCTCAGAAAAGTACGCAATTGATTTGGGCCAATGTAAGCGTGAGGTTCGTAAAACGGAGAAATAAACCTCGCGCAAACCGCTGCCCCCAGATGTGACGTTGTTCCTGTGTGAATGCTAGTTTCAAGCGTAATTCACACAGATTATTCACGTTGGGAGTACTGAGTGGTCGGGAGGAAGAGTGAGGAGGAAATTATTACAAGCGAGTTCATTGAAATATAGATTTAATATTTATGCCCTAACCGTCACCATTTTACATAATTTAGAGAGTAAGTGAAAGGGAAGAGAGAGAGAGAGAGGAAAGGTAGAGAAAGAAGGGAAGTCGAGAGGTGCTTTCGATGGCGTCAGCCGCTTACCACAGCACCAATCTCTCATTGCAGAGGTGTTGCGGCTCCTTCTTGATTCATGGTCTCACACGCACTTGATTCATGGTCGACTGCGTGCGGGCTTGCGGTGTCACTGGCGATGTCGCCTCAGATCTACCCGTCGCTTCGTTCGTCTTGTACATTTAGGCTTCTGGTGTTTTAGGAAGTACTCAAGGTCCTGGCCAGAGTTGTCAACATGTTTTCTGAAGAGCTAAGTCTTTTCCAATGCGGCGATTTTTGCCGCTCGGTTGCTTGGGCTCGAGCCATGTAGTGAACATTTATACTTTAAGATATTTTTCTTTAATTTTTTGTAATATGGTTCGTCACAATGCTTATCTCAGGGAGGCATTATTTGTTTCAAGTAACAATAAACGATTTTCAAGTAGTCTAACGTTTATTTAAGACATGAATTGCAAAACCAAGTCTGGTATTGAATCATTATATGAGTAGGAAAAAGCAAACGGTGGTGTGAAAAAACAGGAATGTAAAAACAGGGAATCCTTACCCTTATCCAAAAATTGGGATCCCGCATATTCCATTAACCTCGATTCAGTGGCCATCTTTCCTAACCGTAAACTTTTTCCGGGACAAAATTTTATTATTACATAAACTATGTCATATTTTCTACTCAAAAAACACATTTTCACATGTCTACTCACTATATTCTCTGAGTCTTCTAACCTGATGGTGTAAAATTATTTAAGAAGTTGTCCAACCGTACGGTTACGAATAAAACTGTTCCGGAGGACGTCAGTGGTTGTCTTATCACGTTTTCCTGTTTTTAAATGAAGATTATGGTTTCGTAACAACCACCAAGAGAGGTCCATAAAAATTCTCCGGAGTGTGATATCATTTCCTGGAAATACGAACTCGTATTACATAATATGGAGATGACTACTAAATTAGCACAGCTTAAGATACATCTCATTTTATCTACAGCTGTTTCTTTTACGCATCGTAACATCTCTCACTCCCAGATTATTTAAATGAATTTCATATTTGAAGGGCAACAGGATTGATATCAGTCGTTTCAGATATCCAAAATAGAGATCTTAGAATTTTCTTAGGAAACAAAGTCATCCAAGCGTTGTACTAATGAGTTAATTGAACTTCAGTGTGAGAACAGAAAGTATTAATAAGGTATATTTACAAAGAGAGATACGTCTGTATTCACAAACATTTTCTCAGAAACAAAAATTTATAGAAATGAGAGTTGTTGACACACTCTTTCAATTATAATTGAAGTTGGCTAAAACTTTAGGTTTGCTTCTCGCTAAAGACAGTCAATTTATTTAAAAATCAGTACTATATAATTTTACTTTCTTCAGTGAAAAAATAAGTCATCTTAATTAAGTTTGTAAAGTTGATCTTCCTAACTCCTTTCTAGTGTTTATATTTTTGTCATTAATTGTGTAACTTGTAAGATTTGTCATTTGAGTAAGATAATGATTTATTAAGAATTTAAACATCGTTTTATTTAAGTTTTATTGTATCATTTTCAATATAAATGCTTTGTTATTCGTGGTCAATAATAACTAATGTAACTAACCTTGTAAGTATTTCAATCATTTTTGAGTGTCTTTTTTTTTTACTTTGTCACATATATGCTAAAATTATTGCTTAGTATTAATATTCAGTCATCGTAGTATGTGCGAAAATGTCAAGTATCTTGGCGTGATACGAGTCATGTTATTTATTTCCGAGAGTTAGTAGTTGCATTCTTGGGGTTTAAAGGCGATGCTTCTGCTTTAGTATAAACGTGATACTGGTCATTTGAATGGCATCATATCTAGGTTTACGAGTGAGATGTACTTTTACGATAAAAAGTGAACAGAAGAACAATGAAATATTTTCAAAAATAACTTTCATAAAAAATAGTTTTCAGTTTGCTGCTTCTTTCACCGATTTACACACTAAAACGTAAAGTAAAATAGAATTTGTGTTTTGTAATCCAGAAGGTAAGTATGAAAGTAAGCATAAATTGAGAAAATGCTGAGGTGGCTCCTTGTTTTGCTTCTGGACAGAAATATAGCTTCACTATACGCACGTTAAACACTCCTTTTTCTAGTTGTGGTAGGTATAAAGTCGAGAGTGCGGGTTACTGTTTTGTTAACACTACTAAAAAATAAATCTGTAGTTCGTTTACCGAAGCAAATGTGTTCATCATTCAACAATTTATAGTAAATGCGAGGGGAAGAGAATCTGGAACGCAAGAAATCGTGCGCAGATTATACTTCTCTCCCATGCGCCACATATAGTGTTCGCTGTTTTTGATGAAAATAAATGAAATAAAGTTAAATAAATCAAATTAAGTATTCGGTTGTATAAGCACTTTAATAAAGACTCGAATGCATGAGAGTGTACTATCAACATAAATGATCGTAACACTAGCCTCTCAGTGCTAGTACTAAAGCGTTCTTGCGTAGCAATGACACCATAAAATAATGAGTTTATTGCTTGGAATACTATATCACGCTAGGCAAAGGACAGGCTCGTGCGTTAGATTAAGGACGATTACTCAGTACAATTACTGCTAATGTAAGAAAAACCTGTAATATGCCCAATTTTGCTTAAATCAAAACTAAAAAATAAATTTTCTTATCCCATAAATGCTTCTGAGCAGTGTTCGCCATACTGATTGTCATGTAACTAAGGGAAAAACCTCAAAAATGACAGAACGAAATCATTCTCTTGTCATATTATTAATTGTTTATAATTAATAGTAGAAAACAGTTAAGTTTCTTTAATACTAAATATAAGATGTTTGCAATTTCAAACTTTCTTATAATATTAGTAAGATGTTATCTCCGACCAACACCACGCGAATGCCGGAGCAGTACTCTAACAAACGGGCTACGGACAGAACGCGATCTTTCCTTCCTCTTCATTGTCCTTTCCTAACCTCTTACACACACACTTACATGCACTACACTACACTACCACATATGCTGGAAGACCGGTCGGGAGCTTACAGCTCGTCCCGGCTGGGGCAGTGCCTGCCCCGCTGGTGGGAGATACTTGGATGAGGGAAAACCCCGTTAGGCGACGATAGGTCGGCACCGGATCTCACCATCCAGCGAGGGATGATTACCGCCACCTCACGAGGGAAATTCATGCACTACACTTACGGAACTGATTACCTTAACAGTTGAACCGCCCGGAATCCCCAATAAATCAATCAAGCGACTAGGGTTCCTTAGTTCTTCTTCCTCTGTAGATACGAAGCGGGAGATCCTCTGTAGATCCGACAATTGCTCGGGAGTACGTTCGGCGCTGGCTTCACATGACTTGATCATGAGCAATTGCTGTCTCTCCAGTCTCTCACACTGCACATTCGACATCAGACTCTTTAAACCAAAAGCAATAATATACAAAAAACGGTTCATTCTTGCTTCAGTTGCTTAAACTTTGCTACAGAATCACTGGGTCGCAAGAAATTGATTTTAATTATTCTGCCCACACCCCTCCACCCTAAAAATGTATCGTTTGATTTTTCGATCGTAATAATTCATTGATTGACTCAAACGTCATCCGCTGGGCAATGTCCACGCTAAAGAACAGAATCCTCCTTTTTTCGAGCAGTTGGGCAATAAAAGATGCAGATCCCCTAGCTGCGCTCCTTGGGATCAACCAATGTTCGTAAAAAAACGAATCGTCGAATTTCTCTGCACACAAGACAATTGAGAGGTTTATTACAACAACCAAATAAGTCCTAAATTTCATATTTTGATATATTTCACTAAGGGACCGTCCATAAATTACGTAACGCAAATTTGGAGTATTTTCAATACCCCTCTCCCCTGTAACACATCCAAAACGCGCGATTGCCCTCTCTCATAATAATTACGTAACGCTTGCGACCACCCCCACCCCTTATGTAAATGCAATAAATGAAAATAAATTATAGTTCAGTAAAAAATGGATTCATTTCACTCATTCAGTAACAATTTCTAATAACTTAAAATAATTTTATTTTTAAACAAATTAATTGGATAATATTTTAATGTTTTAGTGTGACAAAAAAGGAAGTATTTCTACAAATGTTAAAAAATGTAAAATAGAATCAATGTTATATAACACTAATGAAATGTCCCCCTATTCCTGTGTAACGCAAAGCCGCCTCAAACTCCCCCCCCTCTTTAGCGTTACGTAATTTGCGGACTGCCCCTTAGTTATTCTCTACAACTGACGCTATCTGCTGCAACATTTCTTTCAGCAAGTGCCAAACACATTGAAAGTTGAAAGGCAGGGAATAATCATAAATCCATTACTAAGCACGTCAACGCTATGAAGTTTTTAGTTCCCCTGAAAAGTCTCGAATTTGGGCTAGTTTGCTCAGGGGACTGGTTTAGTTCTATTGATCAGAGAAACACGTACTAAGTACTTCTATCTCACAAGGTTCTAGTGTTCAAGTCCCGACGAATTTTTGACTCTGGCTAGAAAGCTGGGTCGAATTCAAACACGGTCTGGAAGATACTTCTAGCGGCTATGCCGAAGCAGAGCTTTCAAAAATGGGCCAAGGAAGCGTGCGACTTACCCTCCCTCATTCTCGACCACTTCTCTCTTTTGGCATTACTACAATACTCATTTGGGGAGACCAGTCGAGAGCTTAGAGCTTATCCCAGCTGGGCGGGGGGTGCCCGGCTGGAGGAGATACCTGGTAAGGGATATCCTCCCTCCCAACAACGTGTATATCAGCGCGGGATCTCAAGTTGGAACGTGGGGAGCACCGCCTCCGCCTTCCGGGATATAACATGCACTACACTTATGAGACTAATGGCCACAGAGGTTGACGAGCCCGGAAACAAAATAATCAGTCAATCGGCAGTTCCACTCCTTGGTTTGTGTCTCCTCTCGGCGCCCCAAGGCGCGCAAATGTCGACAATCTGTAATATTTTTCTGAATGGCGACGCGTTGTGACGTAAGCGGGGAGGGAAGCTGGAGGCCCTCCGCCTCCAACGAAGGAACCCTCCCCCCCCCCCCCACTCACCATCTGCCGGCAGCGCCCTCGCGATCTTCTCGCCTTACGCCGTTTCTTAATAAACGAGGCGATCACAATTTGCATGACAACCTGTTTTTAACTATAATGTTGGCCGTACTAGAGTTTTTAAAATATGCAATTGGAATGTAACGATTTGTGCTAACGTTTAATGTAGGTCTTTTGAGCAACGTACAGATCTGTACCAGATTATAAAGGCAGAAAAAGAATTTTGAATCGATCGTTCAATATGCGTTTATTTCTTTAACATCATATTACATACACGCTTACGCATACGAATGACATCTAAATGTTGGAAAAACTGCCTAAGAATTCATCAAGCTTTTCCAAAGAAGAATAAATCACAGCAACCTCTGCATCAGATAATATTTTTATCTTGCCGACATGCTGTAGTAGTGTCTTCACATATTCAAAAGCATATCCCCGTCAGTGAGTTGATCAACCACTCGCTTCGCTCATTACAGCTGTCGTTGCCATACGTATGCGTATTTGTATGTGAAGTGTAGATGTAAACAATCAGGGACGGCGATTGGGGTTAAGTCCAAGTGAGTAGTAGACCCGGGTGGGGGTTCACCCTCCCACTTCATCTTTCACCGAAAATGAATATGAAGGGAAAAATGCAAAAAAAAAAAATTTAACTGTCGAGTTTATCATTGAATTGTAATTACATTTATCTTATGTAACTTCAGCAGAGTCCATTTTTGCAATGAAAAACACTACTGTGCTTTGCATTTTTTACATAAACTCATTTAATAATTTTTGCGAATCGATTTTGTCGGACTTGTCTCTGTAAACTTGTAAAATCGCAATACTGTTGAGCCAATCTTGCAACACAGTTGATCGTGATTAAGTTTGGAGTCGATGCAATACGCAGACACGTCGCACGTTCCTTCACACGCTGAGAAAAGCGAATCAGCAGTTACCTAAAATAAATCTAATTACTAAGTAAAAATTACTATAAATATATTTAATTTCCATAAAGAAGTAGTAGGATTCTTAACTTATTTGGACGGAAGTGTGAGATTTTACAATACTAAATTATTTGTTTATTAAATACCAATTCTTTCCATTTGTATTCAATAGAAAATTATACTATGATATATCTAATTTAGAAATCACAATTTTGTCTTAGTTCAAAGTAGCGCCATATTTCGTATGAAGGTAATTATTAGCGCATACAATATATTATTCGATATTTCACACATAATATGGATTTTTCAAAGAGTTTTTTAGGGCTTTACGTTCCGTTGATCCACCTCTGATGAACTGGGGGCTGGGATAAGGATTAATATAAAAAGTATAAACCTGCTGCAAAGGGAGGGATATTTTTCAACGAAATTGTACGATCGGGGGGAAGTGAAGTAATTTAAAATCGTACGTTCACTACAAAAACAAGTCTCATTCGAAGACAGAAAAAAAACATACACGAAAAGTGTGTTATAAACATTTTTGACTGAAAAACAATACGAAAGTTGGTTAATATTTTCTATTCGCACACGGTTAAATTATTTATCATTCTACTCATATTCCATTTTTGTTATTCTGTCAATTGTAAAGAGGGAGGTCATGATGTATACTTACACTTGAGAGGTAGAAGATATGTATTACGAAATTGTACGAAGGGGAAGGTCAACGTTGACTTAAAATTGAAAGTGTGTACTTGGCCTAATTTGTGGTGGTTCTTTTGTTAGAAATACTGTGTAAATAAATTCCCTTGTTATAATAATGATTTAAAATCTCATAGTAGACTGATGTAGTTTATTTCTAATTTCGTGTACCAAATGAGAAATATATTTCTTCGCATCTGTTGAACATTCTTTCAAATAGACACTGAGGCGATGGATTTCCGTTTCATCTAGGAGTTAATTTCGCTTTGTTGGGTGTATTTGTAGGGATTCCATTTTCGGTTAAAGTAAAGTTAAAGGGTAGTACGGTTCCTAATTAGTATACTTCGAAGAAAAATATTTATTTTTCGTCGATAATACTCGATTCGTCGTGTGAAAAGACATAATGAATGTTAATTATTGTTTTATGGTGATCTTCATTGTACCTACAGTTCTTTTCGATCTAAGTATTTTTCGGTGGTATGGGTAATTACTAAAAGCGTATAGTAAGGATGTCGTTTTGCTTTGTGAATCTAGACACAAAGCATGTTGGTAAGTAATTCGAGGGATAAAAATACTAATATCAATGCCTCGATAAAATATTTCACCGTGATGGAAAAACAAGTAGCCTCTTGCTTCCAGCCTCATTCTGTTTCACATCCTGGCCACATTCCCGTCCTGTCCGTTCGGTGTGGCTGGGCACAACCGATCATATGATCTACGTCACGGAGTAAGCTGTGGAGGGAGGGCGAGTCTGTCAGACATATTTACATCTGCGCCGCACTTGCGCAGGTTGCAGTGAACGTGAAGGCAGGCGGCCCACCCGGTTGACAAAGGCTCGTTGGTGTTGCTCATGGTTGGAAATGGCGCAGTACGCTAAATTTCTGTTGCTAATACTTTGCCAGTATATAGTAATTGTGTCATCTACGGAGGTACCCGAAATTTCGTCTACAACAGCGACTTCTCAACAAGATGTCAAGCAAATAATTTTAGATGCATTCAATGACAAATGGGATGAATTCACTTACCATTCCCCCAATATCATTAACATTCATCGCCAGGTAGGAGTGAGTTTGCTGTAGTTTGTTTATTTTACTATAAAATGTATCAAATATCTTTAAGGAAAGTGAATATTGGTTGTTCTTTTTAGAGAAAGATGCATGAGATGTGTATAATTAGGTCCTTTGTGTGATAGACTTCTTTGTTAGAGATGTTGTTTTTTGTAGGTCAGAGGTCATGTTAATGTAATCGACTGATGATGATTTGCAAAACCAATTTTTCTTTCAGAATGAATCTGACAATTTGTATCTCATACATTTTGGGGTATCAGCTGATTGCAAGACAAATGCTTCAGAAAGTTGTACTTCCTCAGAACTTGTGTGTGAAGTTCTAGTCATAGATGATCCTGTAACTGAAGTGAAGCAAATTTTAGATGGATATACACTGTGTGCAAACAAAGAGATTGAACCTCAAACTCCTATCACTAGTCAAGGTTTTGTGGAAGTTTCTGATGGTGAGAAAGGTGATCTCGCCCAGTCTGTTATTCAAGAACTGGAAGAAAGTGACCCACAAAGAAGTGTGGTTGATATTATGTCTTTGAAAAAGCTGGTGAGATACTACTTTCTGAGATGAGATTGCTCCATTTTTCCTTTTATTTTTGTGACAATTTGTCTCTTTCCCTACAGGAAGTGAATGGTACCACACTTTTTCTTACGTTGAAAGCTACAAAAACAGATGGGGGAGACTCTTCAAGGTTTGAAGTTTGTGAGGTGCAGGTGAATCAAACTGATGGTTCCTCAGAAAAAGAGTGTTTTTCCTTGGAAAGCAATCTTCCAAATATTTTGCTTAGTGGTGATGACATGACTCAAGTAGCAAAGGATGCTGTCCAAGAACTTGACAACTTGTCACCTTCAAAGTATACATACACCTTGCTTGATATTATGAATGCGGAAAAAATAGTAAGTAGTATTGACAAAATGAATTATTATTCATAGACAATTTTTGTGATGTCTATTTTTTTTCTTCTAAGAGTAATTTTAATGGAATCCTTTTACAATATTCAGATCAATTTTATTTTTTGTTTATAGATTATGAAGAATTTGTTCACATTTCATTCTTAGCTTATGTGGATGTATATCTCATTTTAATTGTTACAAGCCTCATTGTTTTGTTAGTCAAGCAATTTTAAATATGGTCCTCTTTATGTTCACAAAATGTTGGTAATGCTGAACCTACATACATTTCTACTTAGAACAAACCTAATTCTGTTTGAATTATTTCAACTATTACTATTTCAACCTGTAATAATATTATTTTCCAAATTATCTTTTGAAAATAAATGAATTTTGTAATACTTATAATATGAGACAAGGTTCAAGGGAGTATCTCATTCCTAGCAGTAATAAATATCTTTGAGCATTCATGAGTAATGATTTACTTAGGGTCATGAGAAAATGTGTACATATTGTTGCAATAAAACTGTGTTTCAAGAAGAAGAAGGTGATCCAGATGTTTGAGGTGTTTCAGATTCAGGCTATGAAAGAAAAAATCTTTTTGATGTGATGAAGTAACTTTCAAACAATTAGGCAAATAATATTGATTAAAGATAAGTAATTAGAATATATTTTCATAGTTGTATTATTTGTGTGAGACAGCATACTAAAACTGGGTCCTTTTACATCGAAGGTTCACTTCACTTAATTTATAATATTCACTTAATATAACTTCACTTAATTTATTATATATTATAAATTTGTACGTATACAAAGAAAGCAAGGGTATGACACATGGTGTTACACAAAATTTCACTCTGTCTGTGTTTCAATGAGAACTGATATGGTCAGAATCTTTACACCCATTCATTTGCCTCTTCATTCATATAATACAGAGTTAACTGTCAACACACAAATTTTCCCAACTGTCAACACACAGTACTCTAAATAAAATAAGAGAGCAAAAGATTATCCTACATTTCCTTCAAGTCAGTACTGGATATTAAATAAGATAGTTTGTTTGTATAATTGATTTGAAGTTACTATTGGTTTATAATACTGTTAAATCATATTATTGACAGAAGTTACGAGTCAATGCGGAAATTACATTACAAGGATCTGGTCAAGTGTATGTCTAGCTTATTTTCTTCAATTTCATTCCCAAATTTAACTTTCATTTTTGATTGCTCAATTAGCAATATTGTTTTCATTTCACAATTTCACACTCGTCCTCTATATCAGAAAATATTAGAACTCTGGTATTTGAATCTGCTTTGAATAAAACACCATTGGTGTGTTAAATATTTGTTGTATCAAGCTAAATGTCTTGTTTTTCTTTAGGTCACACCAGGTTCAGAAGGAGTAATGACAAGTTTGGATTTGAGAGTTGCACCTTCAGTCTGCTTGAAACGTTCGGACTCTGATGAATTGTCATTGGAACGGGCATGTGTGGAAAGTAACTTCACCTCAGGAACAGGCCGTATGATCTGCCGTCTAATTCGTTGGGACCGGCCATGGAAATCTGATACATTGTACTCCGTTCCAGTGTGTGCAATAGAAGAATTAGATGCTAGTACAGAAACTGTTCATATGGTTGAAGTGAGTGTACTTTTCATATTTTGAAGAAATAATTATTTATTGTAAAACAAATGATTTTAAGATATTTATCTTAATTGTAATATATAATTTCTTGTTTATTCATACAATGATACAATAAAGAATTAATGGTTTTGTCTTGCTAGGAGAACATTTTAGAATGATTTTTTTTTAGAGTTATGTGTATTTTCAAGCACACATATAGATATAGAAATATTCTGCATACAAATAATCATAAATTATATAATTTGTTATTTTATTGACCATTGACCTATTAAATATTTTTTTATGTTATAAATGCTTTGCTGATGGTATAATTTTGGTACACAATTCTCTTAAGGACATAAAAAATTATATGATCAAAACCTTCAAATCTTTTCCAATTACATTTATTTCTTCAAAGAAATAGCTTTTACAAAACATACAAGCCCCATTTAAATGGTCAGTTACTTATTATATTTTTTCATATTTGTTTTCTCTGATTGTGGGACTTTCCTTCTTTCATTTTATGTCCTCCAAGCTTTGCTAGCTGAATTTAAGCTCTTCATTCTATAACTGAGTAAGGAAATATTTTTCTTCAGAAACATTTTTGAATATTGATCATATTGAAATCTTACGTTCAACATGTTATACTGTAGGGATCTTCTGAGAGCAGCAGTGAAGCTCAGCCACAACCTGTTGTAGAGGAACCATTTGTTGTGCGCACTGCACATTGCAGTGGCTGCCCCACAGATCTAAACCTGGACAGCCCTGCCCTTCAGCTTCTCACTGAGCAAGCCCTCACTCAATTGGATGAGCAGTCAAGTGCTCGCTTCAAACACGCTCTTGTGCGAATCATCAAAGCCCAGAAACAGGTGAGAGTTACCGTTTACTTGTTTATTAACTTAAGATCAAAAAACTGTAAAATCTACATGTGACAAATGGGGGCAGGCAGGACTTGAAAAATATTTTTTCGAATTAAATTAATATGATATTTTACTACTAGATACCAGTTACTAAAATAGAAAACTAATCTGGCTCTCAATATTGAAAGTTATATATCAAATGTGATGGTTGGGGAAAGCAATACATTTGTCATTTATTTAATGAATGCCTAAGATGCTGATAATTTGCAAAATTTGTGAAATTTTAGTGACTTCCTTTATTAAAACAAAATGTATTACTTGAGTTTTATTGGAATATCAATAATATTTTAGGTAAATAGTCTTAAGTACTTGAGATGGAAGGGTTGGTCTCAAAATTAACTACTGTACAAGTAATAATAAAGTAAAGTTGCCCATTAAAATCTGTTTACACAGCAATCTGAATCAAAAGGGACTTAAATACAGTAATTAAAAAATAATTTTGTTCACTATTGTGTTAGTCTTCTGTTTGAGTGGAAGTTATTCTAATTGCACAGAAATTCACATTAAGCTTACATTCTTACAAAGCTAGTTGGAGATATTTTTATTATTAAATATTGTATGTGGGGGTGGGGATGAACGCAAGCATGTGGTGCACTGTTTATAAGCATGCAAACACAACGTTTCGCAAATAGAACCTAATGGATCACCAACTTATGAAGGTAGAATCAAACGTCAATACCACTTACTCAAGGATACTGCTTATTAATAATGTACTTTCAATTGCAAATTTAAAATAGTAGCCTAAAGATTCCATTTATAAAAAAATTCAAAAAATATAAAACCTTTGAATCCTTTGATTCTCACTTCATGTCGAGACTTGAAAGAAACAAAAACAAAGTGCTTTAATTTGTACTTGTACATTTCTTTCTTCCTTTCCTTCCTTCTTTCTTCCTTTTTCTTTCTTTCTTTTCCTTTGTGTTTTCTTTCTTACTTTTCCTTTCTTTTTTTTCTTTTCCTTTCTGTTCTTTCTTTCTTTACCTCTCTGTTTTTCTTTCTTTTCCTTCGTGTTTTCCTTTCTTTTCCTTCATGTTTTCCTTTCTTTATTTTTCTTCTTTCTTTCCTTTTGTCTTCTTTCTTTCTTTCTTTCTCTTTCTTTCTTTCTTTCTTTCTTTTTCTTTCTTTTCTTTTCTTTTCTTTCTTCTTTTCTTTTCTTTCTTTCTCTTTCTCTATTGTTAATTTGTTATGTTGTTCTGACACAAGTCATCTCTTAACCTTTGTTGGACATTGAGTACTTTCCCTGGAGTAATCATTACTGAGTAATTTCTATCATTTCTATATTTGTCTCATCACGTCACCATCCATCAGTGCCTTTTAACCCTTTGGCCAAGTGCCCAGCACTGTTAGATCCTGGGGTTCATAGATGGTCACCCAACTTGGAACCTGCAAGTCTCAAATTTGCTTAACCTTGATGACTACACAGAGCATAATAAATTAATTCAGCTAGCAATGCCAGCCTTCCCTAATTCATATACTTAAACACAGATACTAGTGGTATTTTTCTATCATGGTATCAATGCCAAATTTGTTCAATCGGATAATGATCCCTCATTCTATTACCCTTCCTTGAGAACCTTTGTGCTCTTTGAATGTCTAAACCATCAAAATTTGATGGCCTTTACCTGTATCGTAAGACAATTTTTTGAATTCAATTTAATGTAAGTTTTTTGGATCACTAAATAAATGTAGGGGAGCTAGTAGTACAATGAATTTAATGTTTAGGTGGTGAATGGAGTGAAGTACATTCTTCACTTGGAGGTGGGAGAGACAGCATGTCCAAAGGGTTCCCTAGAAGACCGCAGCACATGCAGTGTAGAACAAGATACACGCACTTGTGTATTTGAATTTCTGGAACGTCCTTGGCTTCAGCTGGGAAGAGAGCTCTTGCACAGCAATTGCTCTGATCCTCTAGATAACAATTTGCTGGATAATGAAATTCAACCAAGTGTGTTTGACAGTTTGGCTGACAGGTTTGTGAAGTATTATTTCTTAACTCTTCAATTCACATCTTAATGTGCCTTAAAACTCTTCATTTCATAGAAACCAGAGAAAATTATTATTTTTACTTTTGCTTTCAATGAACCTGAAGCATCAACATTAATTTGTTTTATATATTTTGTTTGTTTGTTTTTCTTTTACTTTCCCTTTTGTTTGTTTGTTTGCAACTGACATTTTTTGCATTTGTTATAGACAAAGTGTTTTTGACTATATCGATACAGCAATGGATGAGCCTTTCCGCATCAGAGATTCCCCATCATTTGAGGATGATGATATTCCATCCCCTATTCCTTATGGTGAAGATGGTGTTGTTGACACATCTGCTCACAGAGAACCACCTCTCGAGTCTTCGGAAGAGGCCATGTTGCAGCCTCCGCCAAAGCATCCTCGTGTGTTCCACTTAGATGAATCGAGTGAACATGTGGAGAAGCATCAGCCATACATTGTGGGCACCTCTCGTCAGAGACGAGAGACTGAACGCCCCCTTTTGGGTGGCTTGAAGGATGTTGATCCATCCGAAGAGCCTTGGGTCCGGAAATTGGCGAACATAGCTGTTCAGACTTTGGACGAATTGGACACAGATGATGAAAAGCGCATTGTAGTGTCAGTGGAATCTGCAAAAAAGCAGGTAAATCCTTATATGGCTCAGGAATATTTTATTAGGACATTTTTTTTCTTTCTCCTTTCATGCTTTTTTGAAAATGTTAAAATTTATTTAGTGCTTTGTAATATTTTATAAATCTGAAATACGTCTTATTAATATCAATATCATCATCATAATCATCTTTTGCATTATTGGGCATTTAACACATGAAACTTAACCTTTCACACTGACCCTCTCTGCTCTCAAATGACCTTTCAAAAGGTGCAGGTCAAAGTCTGGCCTCATTTTTATATAGATAGATATTAATTATTTCTATATGAAGTGAAAAATTAGCAGCATGAAAATAAATTTAACGCTGTGTGTCCACCTTTGATTATTTTTGACACTGATACATCAATGTATAAGGTTTCATTTCAAAGCTTTAAAAGGGCCCAGGTCATTTTCTGAATTAGCCTGAAAAACTAATACCTGTGACTGTCATTGTTTGGTTCAACTAGACAGCTCAGAGTGACTTGGAAGCCAATGATTGTTTGATTTAAATTATTATAATCAATGAGCCAACCATCACCTTTTGGACCACTCAAAGCCATCTTGCCGAAAGAACTGCATGTTGTCTATTGTCAGTGCATGCTTATAATGATGCCCAATTGCTGCTGAAATTGTGGTTGTTTTAAAATTAAATGTAAATACAATATTAGAAATTTCAAAAATTAACATTTAATTGAAGTTATTGAACTCTATAACCATAAATTTTAAATTGATGTACAAATTAATCAGTGTAAAAAGGATCAATTTAATTGTATCAATTATTTAATAAAATAATCAATTTTCATAATTATTGGGATTAATCTCAAATAACTAATTAATGAATTAAGTAAATCAGATTTAGATTACTGTTTTCTGCCCAGAGTATTGTCATTCATAACTGGTAAGTAGAGATATAGTGAGCATTGCACTAAGCGAGTCATTTGTGGAAAACCTTGACTCTAGCCTCCACTCGGTTACTCCATTGTGATTCATAAGCCTGTTGCAGCCAAGACCTTGCACTTGCAACTCTAAGCCTGTGGGGGTTGTAATGTAATTCAGGTTGTAATATAATAAACTTTTCATGAGTGGAAAGTTGTTTCTGAATCAAAAATATTTTGCTTGCTTTTATGGACTGTTAGTTATTGCAGCTTTTTATAAAGAGAATAGATTTAATAAACGTAATTCAGTATTATTAACATTTAAACATTGGGGCGAAAATATGAGTTTGTTTTAATTGGTGATGAAAATTAGTGTTGATTTGCAGTATGCTAAGGATAAATTGGAATATTTGTTGATCACAAAAATACTTTCTTCTCATTTAGTATTTCTTTCGAAAGTAGATAAAGGTTTGCTGAGGAGGTGAGTTGTTTGAAAGAGACCCAGTGAAACTAAATCTTTAACTTAAGTTAATATGGGTTGTGCAAGTGTAAACTGAAATAGCCTTTTACATTCATTAGTATTTTTATTGCTTTTCAGTTAACTAACGGTATAGTGTACCACCTCAAAATTCGAGTGGGACTTACCACCTGTGCTGAAAGCAGTCCAAACTCTTCAGACTGCCCTGTGTCGGACACAAGAATCTGCCATGTGCAGTTGCTTCAGTCATTTGCTGGTTCCTCACCTCAAGATGTCCAGGTGAGAGATTCAAAACAAACTCTGCAAAAAAAAAAAAAAAAAAAAAAAAAAAAAAAAAAAAAAAAAAAAAAAAAAAAAAAAAAAAAAGACGAGTGATGATATAAAATATTAGTTCTAAAAAATTGCCCTGTAATGTGATGTTTTCATAGGTGGTCAAATCAGAATGTTTCCCTGAGACAGCAGCTGGTAAGCATCGCCAAAAACGAAGTGGTATTCCTGGAGGAGCAAACCCTGTGGATGTGAATGATGAATATGTTATTAACATTACAAGATATGCTTTAACTGAGCTAGATCAAATTTCCAGTACACCATACCGCCAAGAAGTAGTGAGAATTATCAGTGCAACATCACAGGTAAGTTTTTATTCAAAGATTAACAGACTGATTCACAAAAAAATTGTAAATGTGTCAGAATTTGTTTGATTCAAGTATTAACACAAAAACACAATGCAAATTACCTAATTTTTAAAGATTACTCAACATTGACATTCTTGGGGACATACTAAGCAAATAATGTTTTTTTTTTCCTCTAGGTGGTAGCTGGTAGAATTGTAAATGTTACCTTCGAACTAGGCCCCACCAATTGTCTGAAGAGTAACAATGGAGCACAAAGTAATGAGACCTGTGAAGTACAGTCTGGAGCTGTAAGTACAATGTTAAAAGTTTTAATTGAGCGTTTAATGAAGATACAGAGTGATATGTACTATATTTTCTCAGGATACTCAAGTCTGTTCCATCAGAGTGTGGGATCAGCCTTGGTTACAAAAGAGGGAAATAGTAGAAACAAAATGTCAGTCATCAGCTGCCAGAAAGAAAAGGGTCAGTGATTTTTTTTGGATATTCTCAAATTTGAATGTTTTGTAACACGATGGAATTATTTACCACATTTCCTTTAATTACCACTAACAGTCATCTAGACCAGTTGGAGCACCTGAAACAGCAGATGTAAATGATTCTCGCATTAGAGAGATGGCTGATTTTGTCTTGACTAATTTGGATGCTTCTTCAAATTCTCCATACAAACATCATTTGATTGAGATTACCAATGCTACCACACAGGTAAAACGCTTATAAATAGATATCAAGAATTACTAATTGAGTACTAATCAAATCATAAACAATGTAAGTTATATTTTACAGGTTGTATCTGGTACTTTGACTCGTTTAACTCTTAGGCTTGGTCACAGCACTTGTCGGAAAGGTCATGATGGAGATTCAAGTTCTTGCACATTGCAGGAAAATTCTGTAAGTAGCTATTAAATGTTTTCCAATCTGTTATCATGTGGAAGGTTCTTTATTTTCTGTTGAGCAAACTAGCTGAAACCAACAAGATATGTGTCACCTTAATGACAAAAAAATTAATATCTTAAATTTTAATTTTTTTTATTTACTGAAGGTTGCTTATGCAGACTTCAGTACTTCCACCAAAACATTGGATCCCCTTCCTCTCTTCTTTTTACCCATCTTTGATTCCATCTTCAGTCCCATGGTGCCTCTGAACTGAGGAAACCCATAGTCTTGAGGTTTTCAAACTATGCTTCGCGGCTGCCAGGGGTGTCTCGGAGATTTATTAAAAGTGATCTTTAGATGTGATATACTTTAATCCTTGTGTCATATATAACTACAAAATAATTTTGTACTATCATACTATAAGTTATTTATAATGTATATCACTTACTCCTTTGTGTTGAATCTTTATTAGCTTTATATTGATGCTTGTACTTGAAACTTGCTACCAGGGGAGCTATGAGAAATTTCATTTAGGTCAAGGGAGCTGTGGACAAAAAAAGTTTGAAAACCACTCCTATAGACACTCTGTGAGAGAATGTTTCTTTAAGAGGAGATAAATCATATCTCTGAATTTTTGTCTTTTGGTATTTTGCGTCCATCTATACATGTCAAAACAGTAGGCATTTCAGTTTCATATCTCTCATTTACTTTATATCTTTTGAACAAATTTATATAACAGGCTGTTGTTTTCACTAAAAGCTAAAGAAAAGTTCATTAGTAAATGTTGCTTGCACACCAAAACTTAATCTTTTATGCAGCAAACTTGTTTCATTTACTTGTTACCACGTTAAGATGACTGGTTTCGCAGGAGGATTAATTTCGACATTGATATCTGAAAAAAATGTGTCCCATTATCCCAAACAGACATTGTGTCCCATATCTCTGAATGTAGTTGAATGATAGTTTTTATTTTTATGAGAGAGATAAATTAAGTAATGGTATTAAAATGAGTACTGTAAGTTTCTTTCTTCAGGATTTCTGCCTAAAAGTATACAAAAACACTGAATTTTTTTTTTAATTTTTACTTCAAGTACGCTGTAATATACAAAAACTATTAAAAGATAAAATTCTGTTTTTATTTACTCATAACATTTCCACAATGCAGCTCCTGAAATTTTATAGCACTATGTTAAATAGTTTCTGAGATCGTGAGTCAAATGTACAGTCAAATTAACATGGAGAAATGGGACTTTATGCCTCCTCTTCAAGCGCAGAGATAGCCCATTGGCCTTGACAGCTCACTGGCAGGATGATTAAGGGTGTTTGGCAATAGCAAATGAGATGTGTGGAGCTGAGAAATGGCTACCATTCTAGAAACTTGATAAAACCATCCTTGTCTTAGCTGCAATTCCAACCACATGTGTTCACTTGTGTGATCCAACATCCTCTGAATTTTGGCCATTGCATTAACAGATGTATAGGGCTATTTCTTTCTTTTATCCTTTTCTTCTCCTTAATCCTTTTTGTTCTTCCATGAATTTTTATTTTTTTAAACTTATTATTTTATAATTTAAAAATATAAATATTTGTAAGATGTAAAGAGGAAAAAAAATACTATTATTTTTGGTAAATTTTGGATTTTGCAATTGTTTTCCCACTGTAATGCATTATTTAAATGGGATCAGGTTTCTTTTCCAATGCACCTTAAGTGTTTTAATGCAATTATAAAAACAAAGAAGTGTATTATTATTAATACATTCCATTACATTACAATGAATATTGCATTACAGGTTCAAAAGCAGTGTACTGCAAAGATTTGGGACCAGCCGTGGTTGCAGAAGAGGGAGCTGCAATCAGTGCAATGTAGTGAAATTTCTGGCTCAACTCGTACAAAGAGGGTAAGTCAAATGTCAGTGTCATACATGTTGATCACTAGCCATATCGATTAGTTCATAAAATTGTGGTTTATTTTCTTAAACAGAGTTCAGGCTTGCGTGGAGCACCTGAAACAGCAGACGTAAATGATTCTTACATTATAGAGATGGCCAATTTTGTCTTGACAAATTTGGATGCTTCTTCAAACTCTCCATTCAAACATCATTTGATTGAGATTACCAATGCTACCAAACAGGTAAACCACTTATTCATGGATATAAAGAATTAGTACCTCACTGTACCCAAAAATAAATATAATATTTTTTACAGATTGTGGCTGGTACTTTGACCCACGTAACTCTTAGGCTTGGTCACAGCACTTGTCGGAAAGGCCATGATGGAGATTCAAGTTCTTGCACGTTGCAGGAAAATTCTGTAAGTAGCTATTTAATGTTTTCTAATCTCTTATCATTTAGAAGGTTCTTTATTTTCTGTTGAAAATATTGCTGTAGAGCAACAGGTTGTTAGACGTAGCATTTATGCACAGATGACACAGAAGCAAGTGATAGAATGCAATGTTGTGCAAATAAGGGAATAGTACAGTGAAAACAAACACAAGACTATTTCATTTATAAAACCTCATTTCCAATATATTTGTTGATAACCTTGTTTGTGAAAATGAAAAATTCAGTGTCTGTTTGGTCATGTATCTCATGTGGTCATCTTCCTTTGCATTACTTTTCTCTTCCTCTTTGAATTTGACTTATTTGTACTTCACTGATTATCTTCCTTATTTGTACTTCACTTTGGAAACAAACGTTCATCTTCTTTTACTTATGCCTTACATGTACCTTCTATATCTTATACCTTCCTTTCCTTTTTCGTCCCCCTTCATCTTCCTTTCTCCTTCTTTTCTCATTTGTCTTCCTCTTTCTTCTTCCTACTTCCTTTTTCCTTCAGCTTCTACCTCGTCTGCTTTTTCCTTTTCTTATTTTTATTTTTCTACTTTTTCTTCTTTTTTCTTTTTCATTTCCTCTTTGAATGTTGCTCTTCTACACCATCTTTTACTCTCCCCAAAGACCATCTGCAGCCCTCACTCTCCACCTCTTATCTCTCTCAATGCCACCCTACTTCTTCATGCCTCTGAACTGAAGTATCTCATAACAGTGTTTGATTACATTTCTACCTCTAGATGGGAAGAATATGAATGAGTAGTAGTTGTGGATGAGATTCATAAAGCTGTGGAATCACTACCTTCCAGAAATACGTGATAGAAACATTCATGCCTTAAGCAGGATTTGAATAAAGCACTTTAACCATTGCCTTAAGATACTACACTGCACAGGGCAGTTTTTTTTATTCTTTATCCTGTTCTTCCTTCAGTCATTTTCCTTTTTTTGATTTATAACTTAATAATCAGTAAAATACAGTTATTTCCAAAATGTTGAGAAAGTAAAAGTCTTTATTTTTGGGGTAGGTTTACATGTTTAAGAATGGTTTTAACAGCAAAATTCATCCATAATTCAGATGGATTCAGGGATCAGGTTTCATAACAGATGTATTTTAAGTGTTTTTATGTATTTATGAAAAGAAAAATCTTCAATGTTTCATTACAGATCCAAAAGCAATGCACTGCAGAGATTTGGGACCGACCATGGCTACACATAAAGGAGCTGAAATCGGTGGAGTGTAACGAAATAGCTGACTCAACACGTTCAAAGAGGGTCAGTAGTGAAGATAATTTGGTCCAAAAATTTTTTGTTCGGTAGTATGTTTATGTACTTTCCAGAGACTTGACTTGACAAACGTTTCACAATTTTTTATTATGTCTGAATCCTGATTAGCACTTGACTCATGACTCACTTCTAGCTTTTGTGTATTATCCAGCATACTCAACAGCAAATGAAGTTTATAAAATTTCCATTATTGCAACCATTGTTTTATTTATCTTTTCATGTTTGCTGTTTATATCTGAAGTACTCCATAACATATTGCAATGAAAGTTATATGCTTGAAGTTCCAGAGAAAGAGGAGGATTGCAAGTTCTGAACTTTATTCTTGATTACAAGTGGTGAATATTTCATACAATTCCTAAGCAAAAATAATGCACAGCGTTCCCATATCTAGCTTAGCATTGGATGCTCTGCTCAGCATTGGCAAAGAAATGTAATTAGGTATACAACTTCTTAAAAATTCTAACTCTGAAGTAACTTTTCTTCATTTTGGAAATAAATTTATCAATATTATAAATTGAATTACTCTTCCTCTACAATTAACAAGCACTTAATGTACATGGAATGAGGCACATTTGCCTAATTTTTTTTAAAAAATAGAAGAAGAAACCTTTTGTTGCTTTAAATATTTATATTTATTAATAATATTAATAATAATATTATTAATTTATTCCAAAGAGTTACATTGATACAGTGTACATCAGATTTTACTATTTAGAACAACAACAACAACAACAACAACAACCATCACCATAAAAACAACAAAAGAAGTAGAGAGAATATTTATATTGCTAGACTACATTATATCATGTTAAACCTGTTAGCACAAATACCTTTCTTATAATTTGCTTTATCCAGTACACTCCAAACCCTCTCTAAGTACTTTTTGTACTTGTCAGAGAGAGGTGTGTTATTTTGTACTTTTGTTTGCTTTTGCGTATTACCATTGTTAACTACAGTTCACATATTCATCTGTACTGTTTGCCAGATACTGCATGAACCGTTTCTACTGAAATTTAGGTTTTTTTTCCAAGGAATGAATAAAAATGATGAGCCAAATGGCAACTAAGAAGTAAATTGACAAATTGTCTACATTACACATTGGTTATTGAACAAGCAATAGCCATAAAAACTGAGACAATTAATTAAATTACTAGGAAGTAAGTAATTAGACACAATAACAAAATGAGTCTTAACAGTGAACAATTGACAATTACAACTCAAATTATTAACAATTAATTATTTTGCCAATTATCAAATATCATGTATCAGGTTATTAACAATTGACATCATATCAAATCAAATTAATAACATTTTATATGTAATTCACATTGTACTGTTAGATTGCAAAGGGCAATAATTATTAAATGGTGTATAAAAAAACAGTAATAATAATAAGAATTAGTGTAAATGTTTTTAGATTATGTATGTTTATTTTTTGGCATTTTAGAGTTGGATTGATCCAACTTTTTCCAGCTAGTGAAGTTCCCAGCCCTGTTTCATTTATTAATAATTATTATAAAAATAAAATTGCCTTTATTGAGTGCCAAGACCAACTTTTCCACCTGATCTCTTCCTTTCACCATAAAGGTGGCATCTTTAGTGAAAAGATTAATAATAAATTAGCTAACATTAGTTCGTAGTATTGACAAAGAAATGTATACTTTTTTTTTAGGATCCTCTAAAAATTAGTATTCTACTTTTCACTCTGGTGTGGAATTTAATTAAAACATGAAAAACTTGATGTCATGGCACAAAAAAGACTTTCCCACAACCTCAATACTTCTCCTCATCAGTCCTCACCACACATCACTCATTACTTCTGCACCTCTTCTACCCTCCCTTTGCATCACATCCAGTTGACGAACTGGCTCTGACAACTCCCTATAAAGCTGTAGAATCATTGTTCAGAAGTTCTTAAATCTGTTTATTGTTGGTGACAGATTTCCAACAAACTGCCAAACCGATTTGAATTCAACTACTGTCTGACAGAATTCTAGCGGTCAGCTGCTCTGATTGGTAGCTTTTCATGATTTGTTCTATTATTACCAGCAAGAGTAGTATTCTAACTATCAGGCTACGGAGGCACACAATTGTTCTTGCCCCTTCCTTGCACCTTCGTCTTGCACAACACTTACATGCATTACCAGCCCTGGGTGTGCATCAAACAGATTTAAGACAAACATGTAATTTTGCATGTTATGTCAAAGAAATCAGCAGATGCACATGTAAACTGCAACATTTTATGCATTTCGACATACAAAATCACATGATGCAGCCTAGGTTTTTAATTAGCCACAAGTTATGTTTTTATGACAATTTACAAAATAAGACCTTTATTACATTTTTTGGAGGTTTAGCTCTTGTGGATACTTCACTTGGCAAGGGTTGCCAAAAATGTGCAGAATCTCAAAATCTGTGTAAAATTAATTGAATCTTATAGTTCTACATAGTTATATATAATTGCATTTTAGTGTGATTTGTGGCAACCCAGTGACGGTTGTATCTATTTCATAAACTTCTGCCAGGTAGCACATGTGGAATAGTTCAGCATACAGATCTGTGCTATTTCTGGTGTAATAGTTCAGGAATGCATAGTTCATCCTATAGACTGGCATTATTTCCCATTCTAATTGCCAGTACAATAATGGTATGTGGTAATGGACAATGTGACAATCTTCTTCTCCCTTGGTCTGAATGGTCCGGTTTCTATATGTTTGGTGCATGCAAAACATTGGCTCTGTAAGATAATATATGAAAATGAAAATTGTCTTTAAACACCTCCTAACAAAAAGGAGTGTCCTCTGATGTTGATAATCTTGGAATTGGAACCAATAGGAAAAATCATTTGCCTAATGTAATGTTATAACTACAGCTGGCAAATGGTAAGATGCAATGAATCGTGAATTTCTTTTTCAGTCTGGTCCGGGGAAATTAGGAGGTGGTTCACATGACATCCATTTTGGTCTCTTCCGTGACTTCATGCAAAAATTCAACAAAAATTACAAAGATAGGTCAGAAATAAAGAAACGTTACCACATCTTCCGTGCTAATATGATTAAGGCCAGACACTTACAAGAAACTGAACAAGGAACCGCCAAATACGGAGTTACCATGTTTGCAGATCTCACAGGTTGGTTGTCAGTGATCTATTTTTTATCTTCTAATTAAATATTTGTGTTTGAGAGGAACTTCATCATTTTTGCCAATGTTATGCTAGGATTGAGCTTTTAATACATTTGTCCAAAAATTGGCATTGATCTCTCTATCAGTTACTAGTTACCCATCCATTACACTTTACCCCATGATTAATTACCATTAGATAAATAAAAAGCTTGAAGTTAATAATTTAAAAAAATATAAACTATGATTTTATTTTACCAGCCAAAGAATTTCGAAACAAGTATTTAGGTCTGAACATGAAACTGAGGCATGAAAATCACATCCCGTTACCTCGTGCAAAAATACCCAATATTTCTCTGCCTAAAGAATTTGATTGGAGACATTATAATGTTGTTACAGAAGTAAAGAATCAGGTACGTAAATAAAGAAAAGTAAATGCTATAATTGAAATAAATTTCGAAGTAATAATGAATTGTTCTTTTGCAGGGGGTGTGTGGTTCTTGCTGGGCTTTTTCAGTTACTGGAAATGTAGAGGGGCAATATGCAATTAAGAATGGAAATTTATTATCTTTATCTGAACAAGGTTAGTACTTCTTATTTATTTTCTTAGTTCATGGTCATAAAATGCATAAGTATTATTAAAATTCTGCTGAAATGGGATCATAGATAATGTTAAAACAGTGACTTGAAAACAACTGTAAAAAGTGAAATTAGTATTTGCTCAATGGATTTTTTTAGCAGAGGTTCGATTTCCAGCATGCATTTTTTTTAATTTTTTTGTTATATGGTGGGTAGTTTAATTGTTTTTTACCCAGGATGCACTAGTCTGCAAGTAGAATTATATATGTAGATTTTTAGTGATTAAGATAAGTTGCTTTTTCTGAATGCTGTTGTTTTTACAGAGCTTGTGGACTGTGATAAATTGGATGAGGGCTGCAATGGAGGCTTACCTGAGAATGCCTACAAAGCTATTGAAGAACTTGGAGGCTTGGAGACTGAACAGGACTACCCCTATGAGGGTGAAGATGAAAAATGTCACTTTAACAGATCTGAAGTTAGAGTAAAAATAAATGGTGGAGTGAATATTACTTCAAACGAAACCCAGATGGCACAGTGGTTGGTGAAGAATGGACCAATATCAATTGGCATTAATGCAAATGCCATGCAGGTTTGTTTAGAAGTTTTGCTCTTCAATAAGTTGAATTGATTTTGCCAAATTAGGTGCGTTAATCATATTTTATTATAAGATGTATTTCTTAGCCATCTTTTAGGCATTGAGCATGTGTACATGTAGTGAGTAACCGTCTGATACATTTTATCTTTTCTCCGAACATCAGTCAGGCAATGCATTATACCCCTTCAGCCAGGAGTTCAGTGTTGTTAGTAACTGGGATTCCTGGATGCTCACCCATCCAGGAATACATGATGTCTTGAGTTGCTTTACTTCCATGACATCATAGACCATAGCTTGTGCGTAGAAAGTGTTTGAGTTACTGAATTTTCAAATTATTGAAATACAAGTGAACAAAATTAGGTACTCATATTCTTAATTTTAATTCTTATAATTTATCGTGGAAGCAGGGGCGAATCCAGCTGATTATTTTGAAGGGTTTTTCATAGATTTTTGTTAAATAATAAACATATTTGTTATTATATTGTATGTTTTGTAGCATTTATATGGTACTATATTATATTATTGTTTAAATAATTACATAATTTGAACATAAATACATTTTTAAATTAACACACTGATTAAACTTCTGCTTTCAACTCACGGTCGTGAAATAATTTAGAAAGTTCATAGATTTTTTCTTCCATGTTCTTGTAATTAATTTAAAGTGTATATTTAAAATAGTTTCTTGAGTAAATTTTAAAAAATCCTTAATAATTTACCCAGATAATAATATTTAAACCTATCATTTAGGGCAATAGCATTAGTAAAATAGTTCTGTATGATGCCAATTTACAGTTCTTCAATTTTTTTACTCTGTGTGGCTTTTGAGATAATAATTTGGTGCAAATTATCAGGTAACAGCAGATTAATGAGAATTCTGTTCACCTTTTAACAGTTTTTATGGGCAGATCAATTCAAAAAACTTGCCTTATAACACTACAAAGGACGTCAGACAAGTAAATCATTTCTTGTATTTTGACATGTGGAAGGAAAAAAGTCCAGCGACATATCTAGAAAATAATAAAGAATCAATATTAATTTTTCTTAGTATTACCATTTCTTTTTTGTAATGTCGTATTAATAAATGTTCCAAAAATGATTAGATGTCTAAGAATTCAAGTTATTTAGGTTCTGCCTTAATTTATTGAAAATTAAGTTTGTTTTCAAGTTATTAATTGCTCATTGCTTAACTTCTGTTAATTTCCATTTTGTTTGCAGTTCTATATGGGTGGTGTGTCTCATCCCTGGAAGTTTTTGTGTAATCCTGATAATTTAGATCACGGAGTTCTCATAGTGGGTTATGGTGTGCATAGTAAGTTCTTTTCTAAAGTTATTCTGGCCTTGTCAATAAAGTTAGTGAATATTCAAAATTTCAACATCATTGTTCTATTTTGTAATTTGTATTTTTAGCATTTCAAAACAATCTATATTCTGTATATTTTATTCCCTTTTTCGCCTATCTTCATTTTATTCTGTAGGTATATATTTCAGTGAAAAAATGAAATGAAAGATTCATTTTAACCTTGTTTCAGCTACAAAGTACCGTCACAAAATTCTTCCCTACTGGACAATTAAGAATAGTTGGGGGCGTCATTGGGGGGAAAAGGTAAGATTGTTTTGATAACTCATTGTTCTTGCGTTTCAGCATATCCCATGTTCAATCGCACCATGCCCTTCTGGACCATAAAGAACAGTTGGGGATCCCTTTGGGGTGAACAGGTATTGTGATATTGTTTCATACATGTTTTATAAGGGTTTGTGTAAAATACTGTTAATAATTAATCAGAATTTATAATCATAATTAAACAAGTTTACATCAATGATCCATTTCCTTCTGCTATTAATATACTGAGAAAATGTGATAAATCATCCCACAATGATATATGATTGACATGATTTTTTAATGTGTGGCATTTTTTTACCGTTTTGTTTTGCAGGGTTATTATAGAGTATATCGTGGAGACGGTACTTGTGGAGTCAACATGATGGCAACATCAGCAGTGTTGTAGATGACCTCCAATGATTTTAATTAGAATACTCATTTAAGTGGTAGGCAGCTTTCGTAGTGGACCCTCATGATATGGACATTTTTTGTTTGTCTTTAGGGAATATATTGTCCGTACAATATTTTCTCAGCAAAATACAGATTTAATAGTTCTAATACATGTGTTTCCCAAGAGGTTATAGAATCTCATGTTCATGACAAGTGCCAAATATGATTAGGTATTTTATGACTTGTAGGCAATGAGACCAAATCCCATTGACTAATATGGCTACAATAGTTAATGTGGTGTATAAAGTAGTTACAAATTATATAGAGAATGTCTTCCACCAGCTCGAACAATTACAGGTGAAAGATCAGTGCAGTCAGTGAGGATACATGAAATAGTGCAGTAAATGTAGAAAATGCCCTGCTCAAGAAATCTTTGTAAATTTATTTTTTGTGGTTGGAAGGAATAGAAAATGTCCATATCTCTTTACTTCTTTCATTGTGCAATTTTTAATATAAATGTTGAGAAAAAATCAGTTTCAATTTATGACATCTGTAAAAGGCAATATGTTTATGATCTCTTTCACAAGGAAGTTCCTAAATGTTAATCTTGTGGCTTTCTTGTGTAGATGTTTTCAAACGTAAAATTTAATGTCTCTCATTCCTTCATTCTGTGTTCCTTAAAAGCACGTTAATTGTACTCTGAATTTGTAGCCAAAGCTTAGTTTGAGGTTTAGTAAAGTTTTGATTGCTGTGAAGTAGCTGATAATACTAATCCTTCCAGTTGAGGGAAATGAGATTTAATCTTCATATGATAACAGGTATAGTGGTGTTTTAGATTCTCAAGAGTTACCAGTGCATAATATACATTGTTTTTGTGGGGAGAATGTGTATTGTACTTAGGTGATATGACCGTTCTCTCCAAAATGCATTTGGAATAAAATATTTTTATAAACTTTTTAGATTTTTTTATATACATATTTCCTTTGTTGTGGATATTTTCGGCATAATTGATTTTGTTTTGTTAATTTACAATTAATTAAACCCTTTGGGTGTTTCCTCTACTTACTATATTACTAATGACCTGTGAATGTGTAGATATATTCAGCTCTCTAGACTCATAAGTTTATTCCCTGAATTAATTGTAAGAGTGAGGGAGTATAACATTACATAAAGTTTCTGATAAAATATTTTCATTAAGCTTTCAACCATTACATTTCTGGTATTTTAAATACGTGATAGATGTCTCCTGGCAAACAAAATTTCCATCTATATGCTTAACCTGTTTTATTTTTTATAAATCGTAATTCATAAGTATATGGATCAAATTACACAAGTTTTTGAGAAACTTCTGACTATTGCTTCTCAGAAGATGGTGTATGTGTGTGCCAACATTTTGATATTACTTATTCCAAAACTGCGCACATTTCATGATAAACATTTCTCTGTTTGTGCTCTTGCTGTGGTACAAACTGTAAATTTGTATAATTTATATTATGTTAAAATTTTTGTAATTATTGGTTGTAAAGTGTGTTGATAATATACATATTCAATTTCATTATAAAATTGTGACTAAATTAAATAATTTATTCCTCATTCCTAGAAAAAAATTTATTTCCAGTTTTACATAATAAAATTCTTTTTATAAGCTACCCAAAAAATTAAATTATATATATTAATTTCCAATGTGAAGCAAGGTAGAAAGCTGTCAGTTCAGTTATAAATCATTAAACAATTTTTTCTGTGTTTGTTGGATAAAATTCAGATATGTGAAGTAGCATATTTTGGAATGCTTCTATGTGAGACTGACCATATTTTGCCATCCACAAATATTCATTTAAATAATCCTGAGTTATCTGATGAGGCTTGAGCCTACAATTGTTTTGAAGATAAGTCTTAACGGAAGACCAATACCGAGGTAAATACTCAATATGTGCTCCAGCTGACTGCTGAAATGTTGCATGAGGATATCCATTAAGAGATAGCTTTTGTAGACCATTAACATCATTTGTCCAGACGGTTGTACCTGGTACTATGTGCTTTTTAATTAGATCAAGTAAAGTGTCACCACTTTTGTCCTTTACTAGTAAAACAATTCCTGAGAGATCTTCATGACTGTACATACCAACAACAAATTTCTGAGGATCTTTACTCGACTCTTCTTTTGATGGTATTGTGTATAAATTTTCATCCACTTCTACTACATTGTCAATTCCTCCTATTTTTATGGGATATTTTGTCATTTTCAATGTACATACTTCCCTAAAACATTGGTATTGTCGCACCACTCTTGGTAGAGTTATCCCATAAAGTACAGCAGTACATTGAGCTTTGACACGGCATGCCCATGAAAACAGGGTAAGTAGAACACCTTCATAACTCATTCTGTTTTTCTCAAAAAACGTACCTTTACTTAAAGGGCATATACTGTGGCACTTTTTACACAGAAAACCATATTGGCCTTTAGAGTTTTTTCTCATCACTAATGTCATGGGTATCCCACAGGTATTACATTGTTGTCGTGTATTAATGAGATGTTTATTTTGCAAACAGGTTATTAAGTGCAACTGATTTAAAGCAATTTTCGTGATGTCTTGTACAGTGGTGACATCTTCGAGTTGTAAAACGTCACTTTTCTTTTCCGTCAACTTGCTTCCTTTCTTATCAGCCAATGTAGTGGTCATTTTGATTTCAAGAATTTTGTCAGCCGTCTGTTATGCCACACGTATTGTAGACAATTTTCATTTGAAAGTGGTTGAATAAAGTATTTCGAATTAAAATAAATTATATTATCTTCCGCGTGTAAAGTTAATGAACAATACGAAGTGTCACTGATTTTTAAAAAAAAATAAAATGTTTGTCATGACAAGATGAAGGTTCTAATTTTACCGCCTTCAAACAATAAAAACTTGTAAATCTAACTGGAATGATTTCGCCAACATAATAAAACCAAACTTCATTTGTTTTATCTCGCTTTATATAAAATTGTAAACACGAGTCAAGTTCAATGAGTAATGAAGTTTAAACACCATCGAAAAAAAAAGTTTCATCAATAGTCAGAAATGTATGTTTGCGTAAGTACTTTTGCATGTCTATTCTATTCACTTTCAAATGTTTCGCTAGGCGTGTACCAACCTTGTGTGCCGAGATTGCATTGCGTTTGCGTATTTGTCACAAGACTTAAGAAAAAAGGTATTTTAATAATTTAATAATCCTTCCTATTGGGTTGATTTTAAGGCAATAGCAAAGTTAGGGTAGATTGGTTGTCAGCGGCTTGGCAATTGATGTTAGACGAAGTTAGCATAGTTCGGTTGCGGTCCATATTCTTCTAGGAGGCTAAAAGGTTAAGTAATGTTCTTACACGAGAATTTTGAAAATAAAAATGAGACCTTTCTGTTAAATAATGTTTTTTTCATTTTTAGGTGAGATGGGTAAACTCGACCTTATTCAAACTCTGAGTGGACACGAAGGTCGTGTTTGGAATGTTTGTTGGCACCCTCAAGGAAATGCTTTAGCTTCCTGTGGAGAAGACAAAACTATTCGTCTCTGGTTTAAAGAAGGCTCGAAATGGGTCAACAAAGATATCTTGACAGAAGGACATCAACGTACAATAAGGGAAGTTGCATGGTCTTCATGCGGGAATTATTTAGCATCTGCAAGTTTTGATGCTACAACTGGTATATGGGACAAGAAAGGAGGACAGTTTGATTGTATTTCTTCTTTAGAAGGACATGAAAATGAGGTTAAAAGCGTGGCATGGTCCAAATCTGGTCAGTTGTTGTCCACATGTAGTCGTGATAAAAGTGTGTGGATATGGGAAGTTATAGAAGATGAATATGAATGTGCTGCAGTACTTAATGCCCACACTCAAGATGTGAAGAAGGTTGTGTGGCATCCTCATCTTGATATATTGGCATCTGCTAGTTACGATAATACAGCAAAACTTTTCAAAGAAGACGTTGCGGATAATGATTGGATATGTATTGCAACTTTATCTTCTCACACATCTACTGTGTGGAGTTTGGCTTTTGATCATTCAGGGACTCGGCTTGCTACTTGTAGCGATGACTGCACTGTTAAAATTTGGCAGGAATACCTTTCTAATAATTCTGAAGGAATAGTTACTCCTGATAATAATCCAGTTTGGAAGTGTGTGTGCACTCTATCTGGCTACCATACACGAGCTATCTATGACATTTCATGGTGTCACAAAACACATTTACTTGCTACTGCATGTGGAGATGATGCAATTCGAATATTTAAAGAAGCTGAAGACTCTGAGAAACACACGCCTACATTCATACTGTTGGCTACCTGCGCAAATGCCCACACTCAAGATGTAAATGCTGTAGCATGGAATCCTTCAGTACCTGGCTTGTTAGCATCTGCAAGTGATGATGGAGAAGTCAAACTGTGGCAGTATGAAGATAATTAACATTGACAGCTTTTGTATTGTGATGTCATAAGTGCAAATGTGATATGTTATGTAGGTTTTCAAAAATAGAGGACATTATCTGCTTCTACCAGATATGTGTTTTATGGGGCTTATGTATATAAAGGATTAAATAATTTTTTGCAATAAACATAAGTATTTGTTTTCTCTGTTTCCGCAGTTCTCTGTAATGCTTTGTTTTAAATTCTTCCATGAAATGCCCATTGCAGTAATTCATTAATCAGTGCAATGTATTTTATTAAATTGCAAATGTACATTAACATTAACATAAACATGTACATGCATTCATTTTAAGAATAGAGGATATTCATATGTAAAGTGGAATTTTTTCTCGAATTGCATTTGGATAAATAATGTACTGAACCACAAATAAAGTATGTAATTTTGTACATTCTGTTTCACAGAAATCAATTTACAGACTAATTTATTATTTCAGGTTATGTGAAGAAATTGTTTGAAGATCAAAGTAAATTTTCTTCTGATGCAGTCTTTATTTTTTAAAGTTCATAGATTTTTGGCAAAAATTGAAAGAGAACCACTTGTTTTTTGGGGTTATAAGTATCTGGAAAGTTTGGGTTTAGTCTACAGAAATTGCCATTCACGGCAGCTTTCAACTGTTTATTTACCTGAAAATATGTCTCAAGAAGGCTCTGGGTTGTCTTTGAAAGAAGTTCTTGAGAAGCTGAAAAACATTGCTCCTTTAACACTAGCTGAAAGCTGGGATAATGTCGGATTGCTTGTTGAGCCTTCAACCCCCAAGCATGTGAAGAAAATATTTTTGACTAATGATCTAACGGAAAGTGTACTGAATGAAGCCCTTCTTTGTCAAGCAGATTGCATTCTTTCATATCACCCTCCTATTTTTGTTCCTCTCAAATCTTTGACATCTAGAACTTGGAAGGTAAGAATATTGCTTATTTATTCTTGTTTTGGGCATACTTATTTGCAAGTGCATTTACAGTCCTTGTTACGTTTTAGGAACGAGTGATAGTAAAATGCATAGAAAATAGGATTGCTGTTTTTTCTCCTCATACAAGTTATGATTCTGTGCAAGGGGGTGTAACTGATTGGATGGCTTCAGCCTTTGGTATGTTGTTTTTATTTTATTTTATTGTTCTGTTTTAAGATTCTATTTATTGTTTTCTTAAATACTTTACAAAAATATATTCATATTTGATAACATAACATTTATCAATTTTTTTATTGCTGTGGAAATAATTGTTGTGGGTAAAATAATAATTATTAAAAGAGTTATAGGCTCACAATAAACAAGGAAATGTCTTATTAATAAAGTATTTCTCTTTGCATAATTTAATTATGTAACAAGGTTTATCCACTTTTTAGATATCAGGGTCTGGTAATAAGAGTTTTTCTGTTGAAAATTCTCTGTTTTCCTGTGCATTATGACAATTTTTCTTCTTATAACGGCGAGAAAGTAAAAAAAAAAAGATATATCTTTCGTAAGTGCAATGTCTCTTTTTGATTATTTTAACTGTTTTTCCACTCATAGGCTCAGACTCTGAGGTGGCCCCATTAACTCTTGCTAAAGCACATGGAATTCATACTCACATGATTGAAATTGCATTTCCTAATTCGGCTGCTGGTAAATCTACAATTACTGAGTTCCAGACACGATTACATGAGGTAATCAGTGGCTCTGGAGAACAAACAACATATGATGTGTATGTATTTTATAACATTATGAAAAATTAGTTTTAATAATTCAAATTTCATCCATTGTTTACTACTTATTGATCATGTAATAGGTCGTCATGTTGGGTTATCAATTTTTTAAACCTTGGCATTTTTGCTTTGTATTCCTATCTGTTGTTAACACATTGTTTTGAATTTTGAATCCTTTACCATTTATATGAAAGAAAATTTTAAAATATTTTCAATTCCATAATAAATAAGTACTGCTGAAGGTTAGTGACATCGTCAAGAAGACCTGTCCTTTTATGCCTGTCTGAATCATAATTGAGCTTATTACTTATTGAAAGAAAAAAAGGGTGTCTCATGTTGAACATTACACCATGTATCATTAAATTAGCATAATATCTGAAGATTAGTAAATAAAACTCTTTCATGAGAAAAGATGGAGTTGTTATTATTATTATTATTATTATTATTATTATTATTATTATTATTATTATTATTATTATGGTTGTTATTATCATCATAATAGTTATGAAAATCTTATGAATGAAAGCATGGCTGCAAAGAAAAATACTACTTATGTGTTGTTTCACGAAGTTGTTGCGTCTCTGAGAATGTGTGAGAATGACAGATGGTTTACATGCAAATTAGGACTCGTTTATTTAACTTTTTTACTTGTGAGTTTCACAATTCATACTTTCTTGAATGCTTAAAAACAGGAATAATATCTCCATTTCTGAAACAAAAATGAACCTGCCATGCTCTGCATTATTACTACCTCAAATAGTGAAAATATTTCATGAAGTGAAGAAAGGTTCAGAGGAAGAGCACATTAGAATCATGAAATACGATGAGGTATGATGAATTCAGATGTAATCTCTCTGTGATTTAGAGTTATACTTACGCAAATATGAAAGGAGTAGGATATCTAATATGTAAATGTATTGATAAATATAGACAATAAGTGTTTCATAACTTGTAGATACAAAATGGACACATGAACTATGTAGCACATTATGTTACTTTCACTGTTTCATTCTTTGTCTTTAATGATAACTTCATCTTTCTTAGGTTTTATATTTGTTTTGTTAATTATGACTTTGTTTTTATTTGTTTAATTTTCTGCTAGACTTTTTTTGTTTTATCATACCCTAAGTATTTTTGTTACTTATAGTGTCACCTAATTTTTTAGTATCTGCTTTACAGATACCTCAACTTCATTGTGGGGCTGGGAGGCTGTGCACTTTGAAACGGCCAATTACTGTAAGCAAAGTAGTGGAGTTAGTGAAGTTGCATATAAAGCTTCCCCATGTTCGTTTGGCTCTCATTCCCGGGAAGGATATGGGTAAGCACCCTTTCATATTATATTTTTTAATGTTATAAATACTATGTTATATTGTGTTTACATTGTATTTTTGTAACAATTTTTGAATTGACTGTTTTATGTATTGACAGAAGTATAGTTTCAAAGTTATTATAGCCACAACTGCATAGCTATACCATTATTATTTAAGACAAAATTCTGTACTATATTAGCTTGGTATCTCGAACAGGTACACCTGATGTTGGAGTTTATTATTTGTGTGATGCTAAATTCATAATAGAAAGAAGAATTAAACGCAATATAGTTGACTGGCTTTGGAAATTTATATGATAGAATGCAGTATTGATAATCTTTGTTTTAAAATGTGTGTATTTCATTATACAATTAGGTTTAGCTACTGTCAATCGTATAAATCATATTCTAATCTTTCATGTTAGAGAATGTCAGTTTAGTATATCACAATATTCTGCCACTGTAGGTACCTTAAAATCCCCACCCAAAATACATGTTGTTTTTTCAATAATTTTTGCACCATTTTCTAGAAGAATTCAGCTAAAATAGTGCAAATTGATTTATCATGTCAATAGGATTTGAAAGAGCTCTTAATTGCCTTTGAGGGTACTTTGAAACTCCCCTAAAAGGCATTTGATGTACTTAAAAAGTTTTTTCAATAATTAAAAGTTCTCAAAGTATTCAGAAAAAAAAAGATGTATTCTCTACTATGAGACATCGAATAACCCATTTTTCCTAAATGGTAGCCCAGCGGAATCTTGATGTCAGATTGACACACACATTTTATAGGATTGTTAAATTCATCATTCATGTTAATGTATACAATATAGTTCACTTTATGGAAAATCAGAGCGCTGAATCGAGTGTGTAGTTAATTTACAGATTGTGTGTAATTCAATTCTCATCTTTTTAGTATGCAAAGTATCATCTAGCATGTATGCTTCATGTTTAGTGCTTCAGTTAGATGACAAAGAAGTATTATTTCAGGGTTCATGAGGCCTTAGTAATACCAGTACAGTTTTCCTGCTTGCAGCTACAGAAGAGATTTGATAATATGAGCATTGTGCCATTTGCAATGCTGTAATAGTTGCATTTTCTTTCAGATGCTCTTGTCCACACTATTGCCATCTGTGTGGGTTCAGGATCTTCTGTCCTGCGAGGTGTGAAAGCTGACCTGTACCTCACGGGTGAAATGCTACACCATGATGTTCTTGATGCTGTTCACAATGGCAGTCATGTGATTTTATGCAATCATAGTGATTCTGAACGCGGATTTCTCTCTACTTTAGCTGTTAAGCTTGGTAATGAATTCCAGCAAGCAGTGCAAGTGATACTTTCAAGAGAAGATAAAGATCCTTTGGTTACCGTGTGAATCCACGTTCTTTTCAATATCAGAGAAATTTGTACAAAAAGGTAATTGTGAGTCACATTTGATAAACAGTCTTTGTTGGAGTTAAAAAAGGAAAGGTTTTTAGTTCAGTTAAAAAAATATGTTCATTATTCTGGAAACTAAGTATTTTCTTTCAGTTCAGTACTGTCTCTGTCCTTTGGTTTTATTTGTATTAGTAAGGAAATAATGCACATTTAGAATTCTTGTCATTCTTTGTGAAATCTTATCATTGTTTTCTGTACCTTTGGCTTTGCAAAAGAGATACTGAATGAAAAATGAAAATAAAAATAACGAGCAAGATCTCTCACATGTTAAATCCTACCCTCTTCCCTATCCTTCCATTTCCATATTAAGGGAAAAAGTGATTAACAAAATGTTTCTTTATTTAAAAACTGTGTAACAGAAACTTAAAATGTACTTGCAGAATATCAAATCAAAATTTAAAAAAAAAGCAATTGATGTTGAAAACAAATTTTCAATAAGGGTGTATTCAGTATTTTAGACAAATGTTTTTGGAACAATTCACAACAGTTCCTTAAAAATATTTTAACAATCTTCCTTGACAGCTTTTCACTTTCCTTGATAGTCTCTAAAAACATTAGAAAAGTTTTTTACTCCTGAGAACCCTAGGTAAATTTGTCCATGTGAAAATGCAGGAACAGACCAATGCAACCCTACTCTTTGCAATATTATTTAACTTAATTACCAAACAGAGAGGTACTCATGTGCAATTTAATTGCATATAATATCAAGTTCAATTTCGCATACTGTTGCAGATCCTGCACATCTCTGGACACTGGGTTAGTATCGTAGAGTAGTGCAGCTCAGCTTTTTGGCTAGTTGGGAATATGCACACCTACAGCTAGAAAACCAGGTGGATGTAATATTTAAAGTACAGGTAGCTGATGTCAACTCCATCTAGAATTAACACCCACACATGTAAAGTCAATGCCATTCTGCTTTCCAGAGGTCTTTTCTGAAGTACTCTAAATTGTTTGTGAAGTTGCATTTTTAAGAACAAGTCATTAAGCAGTATAAAAAGTAATGGGTTGTTTCTTGATATTTTCTTTACATGAGATCCAGAACCCCTCAAAATAAAATATCAGCCTCACATTTAGTGAAAATACGAAAAATAGTCCTAGCAGAAATAAGTGTGGGGGAATTAAATATGGACATAGTAGAAATGAATATCAAGCAGTATATTTTTAATTTTGTATGATAGCTACGAAGTATCCTTGTGAAATATTAAAAAACCTGTTTAGTGGGAGTTTACAAGAAGACATGTCAAAAATGTTTATTGCTTTGAAAATGTTCAAAATAACTTCAAACTTTTGTGTGTTCTACCTGTTTTAATAAATATCTGTCAAAGAGTGAATCAGTTTTAGTCACAGAATTTAGAAAATTCATTGCTGATCAAAATATTGGTACTTAACAATTACACAAACTCTCAGAAATCAATTTTGCGAGTTGTTATGAAGTGAAGAAGATTGTTATGACAACTTTTGGGAGATAAGAATTTACTTTCTGTAGATTTTCACCAACAGAAAATTACTTCAGCAAGGAAAAAGCAAGACAAATAAATTGAATTCCAGCATTTTGAATGTTAATATTTCATGAGTAAGAAAAAAAATAGAATATAGTGTAGATGGAATTTTAAAAATAATTTGTAGTACTGATTGTGAGTAGTAAAAAGATTTGTAGTACTAGATGTGATTGTTTATATTTTATTTCATAGTACTACAAATTATTTTTAAAATTACATCTACACTATTTTCTATTTTTTTTCTTACTATATATATAAGCGTAAAAGGCATAAAGGCATGTATACTACTGAAAGAATATATGACACGATTCTTTGTTAAACATGTCTTATTGAACTACTCTTCCAAGTACTTAAATTGAAATTAGGGAACATCCATAAATTATGTAACGCAAATTTGAAGTTTTTCTTATAATACTCTCCCTCTCTAACGCGCGCTTGACACCCACCAAAAAAATTATCAAATGATTGTGACAGTTTCTGACACAAACCTGCACACGCAACTAATTCACAAAATTTTGAAAAAACAAAAAACAAACTAGTATCAACGTTATGTAACACTAAACTAACACCCCCTTCTATGTAATGCAGCGGCACGTAGCCTCAAACCCCGCCCCCCCTCTTCTCAGCGTTACGTAATTTGTGGACAACTCCTTAACATCATGTACTACATTATTAGAGAAAAGTTGGAGGAAACATGTTTTTTCAGCTGCATCATGATCTTCTGTTCACACTTGTAATAGATAAGATCAGATATTAGAACAGCCAATAAACACACACGATGAATTGAGTCTGCATCTCAATTTAATGAACAATAAAATGATAATGAAATGTACATACACCTATAACACAGATGGTGTATGTTTCGAACACCTGTCTTAATATATTAAGGAGAGACATTTTTAATTGCTGACGAGATTTCAAATTTTCAAATATAATTCGTATTAAGAAGGTGACAACTAAATGTGTTAATTTATTAGAATACTAATGCATTTCAGAGCCATTGTACTATACAAAGAGGAGGGGGGTGGAAATAAGTTTGTTAAAGTGTGTTTGGTTCAATGGACCGCTCAAAGACTTCGCGGTTTCCAGTCTCGCTTTGTAGTTAGGATGTTCACCACCAGGGCGTGCTGTACGCCCACATTGGACATCAAACTATCAAATGTATTCCGTACGCTTGTGATAATACAAAGGGAACTAAAACTTTTTTGTAATGTAAAATGTGGAAATTGTGAGTACATACATATTTACAGAATATTCTCAAATAATTGTACGAAATGGTGCAAAATAATTCTAAAAAATATATTCGTTTAATTGTTCTTGATATATTAAAGAAAATGTATCCTTCTAGTATATTGAGGCAAGTGAAATAGTTTTAAACTATTAACTGATTATACAATTTTGGAGGAAATGGAACATTTTAAAAATTAACGAAGAAGATAATAAATTGGTGTCTCTTGAAATGGTACTATATTAAATTTGGAATCACCTCAACAATGCGATCTCGAATTTTCTTTCGTAAAATCCCTCAAGATTAAGGTGTTTCGGTGTTGTTCCATACATGTTTAAGACTCGGTAAATAGCCAGGAGATATACAAATTCGATTTGTGTATAAGGATTGATATGTCACTCGTAACTGATAGATTTGGTTTTGAGCTACAACTTGGTAAAAATGTCAGGAGTGACTAGTGCCGTTCCGAAGATTGTTAAGATTTTATTTTTATATATATATATAAAAGATTATTTTTCTAAATTTTCTGAAAAAAGCGCTATTTTTTCGGGAATTGGAGAAGATGTATTTATAAACATAACACAGTTCCAATTTTCATTTAAACCTATAAAGTTTTGAATAGTGCGAAGATCATATTTATTTTCGAACATGTTTTACACCTTTGTCTTTTTTGTTGTAACTTTGTCTCTCAATTTTCGATTTTGAAATGATGGAAGCACTTTTAAATTTCTTGCTATACTACGCACAAACGTAGTAAAAAAGTATTATAATGCTGCAACGGAAAGTGGGTGTTATTTTTGGGAATATTGTGGGAACCAGATATCGAAAAAGTGGAAGTATCGCTGAACTCAGGATTACGATTAGAAACTAGTGGTGCTAAAACAGCACATATTCTTTCTCTCCCCTTAGTAATGATTATATAAATAAAAAATCTCTTTCTTCAATTTTGTAGTTTTTTTTGTTGCGATTTTTGAAAGAAAATTAGCAATACCTGAAAATGAAACTATCACTATATTTCTTACCGTTCCTCGTTACATATGTGAAGAAAATCTAAAGAAAAAAATTGTGGCAGTGAGCGGAAGTGAGACCCTTTTTTAAAATTTCAATTGCAAAGTACGCAAAAACTAGTGCTTTTTTTCAAAAAATTGTTCATGACCGTTTTTGAAGAGCTAATTTTGTACAACAGACTTTGTCTGAGGCAGAAATCTCTATCTTCGAGTTTGTAGTTTTAAATTGGGTTTTTTGAAATTTGACTACCACAGAAAAAAAAAATTAACAAAATTAAGAATACCACCTTATTTTTTATTGTCTCTTATTACATAAAAGAAGAAAAATTAAGAAAAATATTAGGACTTTTTTAAGAATTTATTTTCAATCGCAAAATACGTAAAATCTACAAAATTTTTCCAAAAATTATAATGACTTTTTTTGAAGAGCTACTTTTGTTCAACAGCCTTTGTGTGAAACAAAAATCTCTATCTCCAATTTTGATGTTTTAATTATTTTTTTTCTAATTTTCGAAAAAAACATGGAAGTCAACGAAAATGAGACCTGCACCATTCTCTTAAAAGTCCTTTACACTATTCAACAAAAAAATGTAATAAAAAAATTGGTAAAATACCTACCAGTCCTGACAGCCCAATTTCCTGGAGTGCCCAACGCCAGAATCCTGCCAGTGGTGATTGGAACCTCCAGGGCTATACCAAAATTGACAGTCAGTGCCCTCAAGACTGCTCTCAGAAACTCTATTAATCTCTACACACAATTTGTAAATTACGATGCAGTTTAGCATTGCTGGTAGTAAATGCAGGAAAGGAACTTCATTCTTCCGGGGGAAGTCTAGGGAATTCAGGAGATACTAAAATGCCTATGAACTACATAGATACCACGACTTTAAGTAGGAAGTGTATTCTATTTAATGTAGCATATAGAAAATTGTGGGATCACAATTACGTTTGTAGGTCTTTGATATCGAAAAATTGTTTATAGCAAAACATCTGTTTACCTATCCATTTGTGGTCAACGCTAGCTACCAAGCCGTTCAGACGATGTTCTCCAAAATTTATATTTTACGTTCGATCTGACCGAACACGCCCTGCAAATTTGAAACGGATATTTTTTAGTCTGAACTTTCGAAAATTGTAAAATTTAATTTACAACTAATGCAATAATATATGTGCTGTTGTAACACTAATTTTAAAAAAATAGTATTTGTTTAGTAATCACTAGTGACCGTAACGGGAGGAAATCGATACGGTTTCTGTTGATTCTCTGCTAGGTTTCTTATCCCAATACGTTCAAATTATATATTGGGCTCACAGCACTCGCCCATTGCCATCACGTTGGATTGTTGAATATGTTTTTATGAATGCACAAGGAGGACTGAGTGTGCACTTTGAAAGCAGAGCACTTTATACAAATTGTTCGAATAAAATGTATTTGCAGATACAAGTTTGAATGGAATAGGTTTCTGGAAATGAATTTAACAAGCAGAAACCATTGCCTTTCAACGCCAACGAGTACTAAACGGGCTCTAAAACAACGCAGTCTGCATGGGCCTTACCAGTCTGCGTGAAGCAGGATTTTAATTTGAGACTTTCCCCCTCGACAGCAAGTTGTGTACAGGAAGAGTGACCACCACAGGTACAGAATTTGTGTAGTACCAGAGGCGAGTTTCTCGAGGGTCCCAA